AAAAAAAAAAAAAAAAAAAAAAAAAAAAAAAAAAAGAGAGAGAGAGAGAGAGAGAGAGAGAGAGAGAGAGAGAGAGAGAGAGAGCAGGGGTAAGAACAGCGGCCATACACTGTCAAATCACGAAGATAGAGAACAAAGAGATAATTGCAATGCAAGAATACTGACTTTATCCTCTACAAACACCGTATCTCATGCGCAAATCCTCGACCCGTTTCGACCCAGGCACATACCGGGTCTCTTCAGGAGGTCACCACCTTTCTATCCTTCATGAGGGTATGGCCATCCCCGCGTCAAAATTGCCAACAACACCCAATCTTACGTCTGTCACGTTCATCCCCTTCACCATCTCTTATGCCTCGCTCCTTCTTCCTTCCTCTCATGGTTTCCTTGTGCACAGCGGTAGCCATCTGCCCTGTCTCCATCCCGGCACCTCCTATGTGGGGTGGCGACAGTCCTCTCGTATCCCTGGCTATGTGGGGAGGGCGAGATTTATCACCAGGAAAAGGTACATTGACGACCTTTTTGTCATAGCCTTGTTTCCCAGGCAAGACTCAGATGGAAAAAGAACTGCTGAGGAATGTCTGGATAAGGTAGCTGAGTGTCACCCACAGGGCCTGAAACTTGAATGTACCGACCCTGGGTTGGGGGTCCTGGATTTCCTTGAGACTAGGATTGTGGTCTCCGAAGCCCTGGCGACAATATTGATGTTTCACAAATTCAAGAACGCTGCTGCTATCTGGGATTAGCAGCCCCTGTTGTTTCGGACCTACAAAGACTTCTCTTCACATGGCCCGAAGGCGGCCAAATTCGCGACTATTGCAAATACGATACAACGTATTACTGTGAATACCAACGACGATGGCCTTATATGCTGGAACGTCCTCACCCTGCAGGAGGAGCTCAGGAAATTGGGAATCCCAAGCCACACGGTTAAGGCTGGTATCAAATGGATGAAAAGGCGTGGTAGCCGAAAACTGTGGGATCGAATTGATGAAATTATTGACGAAGTAAGAAAACTCCCATGACAGGGGTCAGGCCTACTACTGAGTTCCAACGGCTACCGAAGTTATGGAACGAGCAGTGTTGAGATTGGCAAGGCCCAGGGAATAAGCGGCCTTGGTACAGTTTGAAGACGACTGACCGATACAGGTGTGGACGGCGTAAATTATTCCCGCTGCGCTGATTTGGTTCTAAATGTTGGTTTGTCGTTTCGCAGTGGAAGAGCAAAAACGGTGGCGTATGTTGCCCCGAATAATATATTTTGGAATTACCACCAAGCAGTCTGGAATATCGTTTGTAACAATTCCTTCAAAGCATTTTTCAACCCCAAAGACTTGCCTAGAAGAATTCGAAGCACTTACTCGAGGAATTGGTCCCCGGGTCATGAAAAAGTGCTGGTCAAACTTGCTAGAATAGAGGCTCTGTTGCATACTGTAACGTGCAGACCAGAACAAGAACCGACCTTTCAATACAAAGTATAAGATAGCACAACGGAAGACTTAGATACCAGTGATCCGAATCATCATCATCGTTACATGGTGTGAAATGGGCCTGGCGCTTCACACAGGAAGACTGCGCCAGCCCATACCATACACAGACGAAGAGGAAGGGGATAGACGAAGAGGAGGGGGAAGATGGGAATGTCGTCAACACCAAGTCTTCGGCACAAGCCCAAATAGTCCCTCGTCGGAATGTCTGAATCCCAAATGTCAAGTCTGGATCCAATGTCGTCAAGTCTTAAGT